GAATGACAGCAATATCAGGAAGAAATTAACCTGTGGACCATGAGATTTGAGGGAAAACATCGTTTTTTTCAAAGGAGTTATTCAGGATACAAAGAACTTCAAGAATGTTTTGAAAACACTTGCAACCAGGCATCAGCATATGATGGCATATCACCTCAATGGACCCTTGTTTTTCAAACCGCAAGCGCAAGCTTCAAGTGTCACCTGTGTCCAAGTTGCAACTTTGCCTGAAGTAGCACAAGATTTTATCAAGACTAAGACAGACAGCCAAAACATATACACCACTCATAAAGTGTCCCTAAATGGAACGGAGTATGCAATTGGAATGTTTGTCTCTGCAGGCCAGACTGGAGGACTTCCAACATTCAGCAGGATTGAATATCTCCTGCTTGTAAACAATTCCATTTCCTTGTTTTGCAGGAATTACGAATGCTGGTACATTGAGCATTTGAGGTCGTTTGAGCTGACATTAACAGACAGTTTTTCGGTGTATCAGCTGCCGGAGCTAAATGATACAGTAAGTCTGACAGCATATACTGTTGATGGACATCTGTTGTTGACACAAAAAAGATTCATTCTGATCAGACACTTGCGAGATTAATATTGCTTTTGGAATAAGCCACATGTAGCCAAATAGATCAGGGCGAAAAAACTACTACTCTTTTCTTTTCCTTTCTAGGAAATGTCTGCTCAAGCTCTACTACTTCATGTTCATGTCTATGTCTATGTCATGTCTATTTGCACGAAGACACCTCTACCTTCATCAAAACGTGGGATGTAAGTTTGTGAACAGTATTCAAGTATCAACCTTGTTTAGATTTCACAAAACATTATGACACTTTGACAGTGTGAGAAGTATCTCCATCCTTTGGGTCTGTCTACAACAGTGTCCATGTCACATAATGGGGAAACACCACATATTCTTAATGTGTATAGACCCTACCTTCTATAATGTTCCTAGCCCAACCATACATCACTGTACATTTATTTATTTATTTTAATAATAGAACTCCCATTGACTTTCTGTAGTTATTGCCATGAAGAGGTATGACTTTGCTTTATGAGTACTAGTTGTCATTTTTATTTTTCTCAAGTTTTTGGTGTGTTTTGGCTTTTTTGTTGTTCAAACACTTGATTTCTAAGATGGGGATAATCCAGTACTTGTATTGTGACTTGTATAGATGAGACTAAGGCTACGTTCACACTGCAGGCGAAAG